GTGTGTGTGTGTGTGTGTGTGTAGGACCCGAGCAAAATCCCAGGCTGGTTGAAAATCATCAAGAACTATTATCCAGATTTCATTATCTGCAATCCTGAGGTAAGATTTGACTGTTCAGCACATTTGTAGCTCCCGGTGGACCCGGTGCCACGGCCGGGTTGTATATCTGTGAACTGAGGACCTTTAAATGAAGTGATCAGTTAAAAGCATCTCTTGCATATGTCTCCTGCAGCAAAGTCCACAAATAAATTACCCTCAGAGGTATTAAGATAATGAGCTGCAGGGCTGCGGGTTTCTTCTGCGTGTTTACATCAGAGACGGAAAACATGTGTTTGAAACGAGTTTTTCACTTTGAAACTAAAATCCACAAACATCTTTCTTTAAAAACCAACAGCCTCGGCCTCTTCTCTGTTCGAGCAGAAGTGAAAATTCATACATTCATCATTTGTTTGTTTGTTTTCGATCGCCGCAGAAAGCGCCTGTCTGGGAGATCACAGGCGCCGAGTTCTCGAAGTCAGAAATGCACACCGCGGACGGCATCTCCATCCGCTTCCCCCGCATGACGCGCATCCGCGATGACAAGGACTGGAAGAGCGCCACCAACTTGCACCAGCTCAAAGTAGGTTATCGCTGTTTTGAATACAAGTTTACACGCGGTTGTACGCTGGTATTAATAATGCATGGGTTCCTCATGCAGGAGGGGAGTGAGTAAAGTTTGACTCTAGGAATGTGGAGAAAATATAACTTTGACTCTTATGTCCTTTTTTATCAGATACTACTACACCCAAGGAAATGATCTGTAGAAAATCAGTGAATGAATCGTCACATAATGATTTAGTTTTGATGAGATGACATCACAAACTACTCAGGAGATCTCATGAAACCATATTTAATTCCGCTTCACCTGGATCTTTAGCAAATTTCACACATTTCAGCCTCAACATGTGAGATTTCTTCAAGGAGAAATTTAAGAAAAGGCTGAAAAATGTCACAATTACAAAAGAAAGAGTTCCTGGATCCTTTATCGCTCCCCCGAGTTTTGTCGAAATCTGTTTGAGGTTTTTGTGCAATGCTGCCAACAAACAAACTGAAAAACTAGACCGGGCGCTCAGTCACTTTATCTGCGGCAGTATTCACCTGCTCATAGATATTATCACTCCTCATCTATTTCACAAAGAATGCGTCCCATCCCTCCATCGAGTTTCAAGACAATCGATTCGGTCGTTTCTGTGAAATCAACAACATCCCTCACGATAAAAAACTGAGTCAGAATCAGTTGCTCATTTGAAACTGAAAACCTGACGTGAACATCCAGGGATTTGTTGCTGTTTACTTTCCCTCTCTGTTGTAATATATGAGGGAACATGAGAGAGAGAGCAGAGGTGATATACAGCAGGAGTGGGAGCGGTAAATAATTAATGCCACGGTTGAACTCAGCACCTGTGGGACGACCTGAGTTAAGTATGATTTAAATGTCGACGAGGGGGAGCGGAGTGATCCGGCATTTACAAACGAGTTGAAATATCGGTCGAGTGAAAACGCGCCAGCGCCAAATTATTTGAATCCGACACAAGCGTTCAATCCTCTCGAGGCACGAAGCCTTACATCTCTTGGCTGACGCCCACGTTGTCATTTCCTCTCTCTGCTCAGGAGCTGTTCCGCATATCTAAAGAGAACTGCGACTTCAAAGTGACAGCCGGACCGTCCAGCGACGACAAGGGCTCATCAGGAGGAGACAGCGGAGGAAGCTCCCCGTCGCCCTCGTCCCACAGAGGCGGCGCTCCTCCTCCTCCTCCTCCCAAGAGGCCCAGTGAGTACACAAAGAAACAAAGAGGACGACAAACGTGTGACGCTACAGCGCTGATGGTTTAATGATATTAACTTCACTTAAATCAGAGACTTAACCTCCCACTGTGCAGAAATAAAGAAAAATACAAAGATAACACAACAGATACAAAGGATAAGAATCGTAAATGATGAAGCCTCGTTTATATTTCTTGTCATTACGTCTTGGTAGCACCATCTTAAAACCATTTTTTTAATCTATGATATCAGTATCCACAACAAGTCCATCGTCAGGTTCTAGTTAAAGGTCAAATGTGTTGTTTCGCTCAGCGTTCGTTGTGCTGTGGTGGAACTTTATTTGATATTTCATCAGTAACTTTCTCTCATCACAGGCGGCAGCAGCAGCGCCACACCCAAACCGAAGGTGGTGAAATCTCAGCCCCGCACCCCGAGCTCAGAGGCACCTGCTGCCAAGAAGGTACAGTAACGACAAGTAAAGTAACGACACGTGACGGAGGGGAACTTAAACGTCACAGTGACTGTCCGATGACGCTGAGGCAATGTCACAGAAAACCTCATGTAAACGTGATGACCGTGTTTCACCAGGTGAAGAAGAGCGACGACGTCCACAGCAACGGACAAAGCAAAACAAAGACGACCTCTCAACTGCTGCAGCCGAGGGACGACAAGGTCAGTCCAACGACCGTTGTTCACTATTAATCGTCACAAGTCTGAGTCAAGTCTTTTATTTTCTATCTGACGTTTGTTCCGCAACGTGACAAAACCTCAGGTCTGCGTTGTCCACACGTCTGCGTCGCTCTGTCCTCTGATAGTTTTGTTAAAAGTGAAAGATAGAGGTCAACAGACAAAGCCGATGTTATCTCCTCTTCTGTGAAACTACGACATTTTAATGTGACGCACACGTCACCATCAATGACCTCACAGTCGACCACTCCCCCCAGATCTGTGTGCTTCTTTCTTCTGCACAGACTCGGGTTCTTCTAAAAGTCCTGATTCTTCAGATAACGTGCAGCTGACGAGCCAAAAGATTCAATATAACATTATTTTTAAGACCTTTATTAAAGTATTAGGATGAAGCTCCACATTCCTCATTCCACCACATCCCACAGTTATTGTTTGGGTTTTATAGTTATTATAATTATTATTACGGTTCAACTGTAAAATCAATTACATTTCTTTGTCATAAAGGTTTGATAATAACATGTTCGGCCAATAAATCTTGAAATATTGTTGCCCCCCAACAATGCTGCATGATTCAGGCACCAGTTGATGCAGAGTCCCTCGAACATGAAACAAGATAAAACCACTCGTTCAGTGACGATAAACCTGGAGTTTGTTTCTTCTGACCGTTTGTCTTTTCCCTCCAGACGCTGCTGGACATCTTCAGCGGCGTGAAGCTCTTCCTGCCCGTCTCCGTGCAGGACTTCGACAAACTCAGGCGCTACTTCGTGGCGTACGACGGGGACATCGTGCAGGACTACGACACCTCCTCCGCCACGCACACTCTGGCCGAGCCCGAGGAGAACAGCCAGGCCCAGAGAGTCTCCCCCAGCTGGATCTGGGAGTGTATCCGCAAGAGGCGCGTCGTACCTCCCTGTTAATGATAAACAACGAAAAACATTTTTTTACACTGTGTTTACAGGCACTGCTCATCAGTGCAGCTTCAATCCGTTAAACCACATGGACAAGAATTTGTATTTATTCTTTTAAAGCCTTTGTGGTTTGTAAACTTCAAACCAGCCGGGGCCACGAACGCAAACATTTACTTTGGGAGTTTTACTTTCTGCTGATTCCAGGTTATTGGAAAATTATGAATGTTGGTGATAGACGTAGTTTTTATAACATTTCACTCAGACAAAGGTTACAGCCGCCGCACAGAAGATCACGGAATGCAATTTAAAAAGGTCACGACACAGATCATAGCTGAATTAACACCATGGGATTAATCAGTAGCACGCTGCTGTTGTTGTTGTTGTTTTTTTTACAGCCAGAAACCACAGCTCGTGTGAAGAGCAACATTTTCAGAATAAACGAGATGCTGATAACATCAAGAACTGTCTGTTACATCATTCTAATGCTTTGAGTTACACATTTTCTTCTACGTGTCTGGCTCGTCCTTTTCATCCTGGCAGATTTGTATTCTTCTAGTTTGGCGTCCGTCACGTGTTTGAAACGTCATCGACACGCCAACTCACTCAGAGGAAGATTTCAGGAAAATGTCTGAAAGCAGCTCTACGGTCGGATTCTAGAAATATGACTGTAAAGATAAAGTTTTTGGATTCATGTTCTCAAATCGACCAAAATCATACGAGAGAATTAATAGTTTGTTTAAAAAAATCATTTTCTCCTCCTAAACCAAATATTCTTCGCTTGGATTTTAAATCATGGGACTCTGGGTACGATCCAATGAGATGCTACAAGATTTAAATTTAATTTTTGTTACTGCAGCCTCTTGCATGTGAATGGCTTCCAAGGATAATTCAGATTTGCCTTTTTATCCTGCGGATACTTCGGGCTGTGATGTGGCTTCATTAAACGTTTGAATGTATTAAAGCTCAGAAGCAAAATCCACTTGAACCTGCTCAGCTTCCCCTGAAAGGTCTGAGAAGAGGAGAAAGGACTCGCTCGCCGATATATTCCTCCGTCCTCTCAACGGGTAAAAAGAAATCTCATGAAAACATTAATTCTGCTGCAGGCGACTGACGGAGCGTCTGAAAGGAATATAAACAACACGAGTGTCATGATCTTAACGGGTCCGTTGGATTTAAAACAAATTATTAAATGTGTGCAAAGTGTTTCAAAGACACATTTTCTTGCAAATGAGGTTCTTAAACATCCTTTTGTACCTTTGATGGGTTTTTTTTTTTTTGTTTGTCAGAGGATTTTTTAATTGGCTCTCGTCAGGAATCGGTCTCGTCCCGTTTTCTTTTTCCGGAGGTTCCTTCTTTGGAGCGACTCCACCACTTCAAGTCAAACTGCTCTCTGACGAGACACGGCTGAGAAGAAGGAGAGAAGACGAAAAACAAACACGCAAACCTCAGCTGCAATTTAACGCCTCATCGCTTCTTATGAAAAGAAAGAATTTATCAAACCAGACCAGTTTTAAAAATCAAACACAGAGATTCCGTTTGATTGAGACGTCCAGACACTTGCAGCTAAACGCAGCGTCGGGCCGCGGCTCGTCGTCGTACCTGTCTGGAGGACTTGATCAGTGTTGCTGAGCGCAGACTGGAGCGACCGGCAGCCCCGGCCTCCTCCAGCCGCTCCAGCAGAACTCTGGTTCTGGGGATGTGACTCCACGACGCACCGAGGCCCGGCAGCACCTCGCCGCCGCCGCTCCTCGTCACGTGGTTTGTTACCTGCGGGCCCACACACACACACGCACACACACACCATCGTGTACAGTTCTACGTTCTGTTTTAGGATTCAGTGCAGCTGTCCAGAGATAATACAAGAGAGGAAACCAAGTAGGACGAGCAGATTGTCCCACTTTCACTCAAATGGGACATCAAACAGCCCGTCACATTATCTTTATCTCACTTTCAATGACCTGATCTGAATTGAAGGCAAATTTCCTTTGGTTCAGTTTTTCGATTATAATTAGTTCTTTTTACACGATGTGATTAGAACCTGCTGTCAAACAAAGCTCTTTTTGTTTTACACGTTTCAGTTTGAAGGAAATTATTAACCTTGTGCTTTAATCTGCTTGATTTGGTTTTATCACCCAAACAAAAGGTAGAAGAACACGTTTAGTTTTCATTTGAGCTCCTCAAACAGAGGAAGTGTTGAAAAGATTTAGATGCATCTTTCATCCGGAGCAGCACGCACACACACACACACACACACACGTCGAGGGTCGCGTCGTCCTTACCAATGCTGCGATGTTGAAGTCCTTCGCCATCGTCTTAAGAACTCCGGCCACTTGTATCATCAGCGACATCCCTGGAGTCATGAGGTTGAGCCGAGGTTAGTCTGAGCACAGAAAACTCTCTCGACCTCTTTCAGTAACTTGAGCTACGCGTCACGTTGTGATTATATTTCTGAATATTCTCAACGTCGATTCACTTTGAGCTGCTAATTGAACAACATATAAATCATACTAATTCATCAATATATACAAATCTTGACAGTACTCTTTAATTTTAAAAGTTTTTAATTGAAAATATATTTAATCCTGCGGTGAGGTCACAGAATCATCTCTCCGCTGCTTTTCCTCTAAATTGTTCTGAATCTTTGTGAAAACAAACTTCTGTCTCTGCACTTTTTAAAGTATTTCGTACGAGCAGCTTGTTATCGTCACACTTGGATGATGTGCATTAAACGAACCTTGTCATGTATTTTTAACAGATTCCTGACAGGCGTTAGTAGTTTACAGACTCAGGCGTTAGCACGGCCTCAGGTATCAGCAGAAAGAGATATCACCTTCATTTTGTTTGCCTCCCAGTAGAGGAGAGATAACGGCTGACACCGAGTCCACAATCACTGCCTTTACAGAGCCACCGCCGCCTGATGCCTGGTGCAAAATATGACAAAAATTACGATTACTGAAAGTTTGATCCGTCTATCACAAAGGTCCCCGAGGCAACACAGGGTTGTTGGTGTATTTTAAGCAAAAGAAAGAAGAAAAAAAAAAGAACAACCAGGGAACAAACCTGCTGAAGCCCGCCACCGCTAAGACCGTGCAGACAGTCGAGTAAGGAGAAGATGTCAAACACGCGGAAGATGTGGATCCTCTGAAGAGCTTCCATCTGGGAAGTGACAGAGTCTCAATTCAGATTATTTGATATCACACGTCGTGTACATTTGTTTAACGCTCCGCTCACCTGCGCCTCTGTGTTGCTCGTTTCAGTTTGCAGCATCTGAAGCAAGCGGCTGGCGCTCAGCCCTCCTGTCGTATCAATATATATTACACTCTGCTTCAGCTGGTAAGAAATGTGCACCGCGACACCAAAACACACCTAGAAGACATGACAGGCGTGCAGGGAATGGTTAAAGATAGCGCGGGTAGCTCGTGTGCTGGACGAAAAAGATAACTACGCTAAAGAATCACCTCAGCATTATTTCAGCCAGAGAACACTTTCTCATTCTATAGGAGACGAGGGAATTCTAAAGAGTGAATTTATGCGAGTGAAATTATCAGTGATGGAGAGGGAAGGTAGGAAATGTTCACCTGAGATTTGCCACTTCCTGGGCCTCCTGACAGCTCTGTTATCTCTCCAGTATACAAGCCGGAATCCAGCAGTTTATCTAAGCTGCGAGAAACAAGGTGCAATTCATTATTCACAGCTGCCATTGTGCAAAATAAACTATCAAGTCTGAGTGCATCTGCAGAGCCAACACAAACTGCAGTTGGGTGAACTTAACACAAACAAGGCTTGCATTAACTTCCAGACTAGTCTTTCAACGTTGGGCCAATTCCTGAATTCAGTTGCTGTTTGATGGCTTCTTATCAAGCTGTGCCACCGGCTGCGTCTTTCAAACTGAATCCATCAAATATAGCTGCTTTTTCATTCATGTGTTTTAAGAGGATTGTGTGTGTGTGTGTGTGTGTGTGTGTGTGTGTGTGTGTGTGTGTGTGTGTGTGTGTGGTGAGTCAGTGTAACTGGAGTGTCTATCGATCCGCCGTGCCAAAGTGTGAACTGAAATAAAAAAAGATTCTATCCTATCCATTTTACACATTTAGAGTTTTAATCAATCATTATCGTAAAAGAAGAAGAAGGAGAAGAAAAAGAAGAATGTTATTGTAAATTCGTCTCTGATTGAATTATTCAAGCGTGGCGGTGGAGGCGGAAACAAAAAGCCCAACCTGGACGGCAGCGGAATAAATCTGTCCATCCAATTATCTGCGCTGCTTTTTCTTAGAGGGTTAAACTGGAGCGATCCCAGCTGCCGGTGGTGAGAGGTGGGATGCAGCCTGGAGACCAGCAGATCAAAGTTCTCCAGTGAAATACAACTAAAACATAGACCAGCAACAAATATGTGGGCTCTGATTTATTTAAACTTAAAATTAAACCAGACTTGGAGTTAGTTGGGAATCTGCCCTGAAACTCATTGAGATATCGGCCTGACGCAAGATTTTCCGGCGTTAGCGTCGTGTCTGGATTGATCTGCAGTGAATGAATGAAATTGCCTTTCCTCACTGATTCATCATGTGACTGAAATTTCATACACTGGGGTGAGATTGAAAACTCTACAAAAAGCTCGCCGGGCCTTCACGTAGGATTATTTTGTCAAGCAGCTGCTCCCAAGGTCAAGTATTCCCTTTTGACCCTCAGGTATAAATCTTCTGTATACTTCCTCTTTAACACCACTCTGTTCAATTAAATCCCATTTCACTAACCGCTTTTTATTACGCTCATCTATTTCTTGCAGCGTTGTGGGCTGAGATCAATTATGAGAAAGCGTTCTGGAAGCTTTAGGCAGATGCACATCTGCAGCAGCCTCGAACGCGCGGCGATGGATACTTAAACTATCTTTATTGACAGGGATATAAAGTGAGTGAGGTCAGGTCTGTGCTTTAGATCCATGACCTTGACAGTCTTGTTACGGCTTCTCTGTCGCTGGTCAGGTAAAACTTCCCCCGACTCCACCTCCGCACACCTCAGGTAATTTATACGTGACCTCTTCCACCCCACCCCCTCGGGTTTATCCACATCCACTCTTTTTATGTGTTCACACAGCAAGAAACTTGTGCAATAAATCACCAGAGGTCCATTAATTTCCTCCTGAGCTCCGTGAACAGAGGCCGGACGGATGTGATGGTGTAGATGTGCTTAATAGAAGGTTGTGGATGAAAGTTTCTCGTTCTCTCGTCAACAGCCAATAACATTTTTCTTCCTATCCCAACCTTCCCCTGATGATTCTGTTTGGTGAACAATAGTTCACAGAAACTGTTGTGAGCAAAACAATCGTCCTTCCAAACAAAGTGCAAAGTGAGTGTCAGGCTTGTTTACAGCCTGTTGGGTCTTCGGAGCTGTTTGCAACTTTTCTTTGAGAGACTCAAGAATAAAAACATCTTTGCTTGAAGAACTCTTATCAGGGGACTCAGGGTGAGCTCCGAAGGTAGAGAACTGTTTTTTTATTAATGTTGCCTAATCCGCGCTTAGTTTCTACAGTAGTTTGATACTAGTCTGCTCTAACCTGCATAAGGAAAATATATTTTTGGAGCCAGTGGTTTCTCCTGATTTTCTACACTTAATGAGACCTTATCCTTTTTTATTTTCTGATCTAATTGGTCTGGCACCATATTTTATTTTGGAACAATATAACACAAAACTGCATTTGAGGGTTTCAGGTTTGTAATATATTTTTTAGAAGCTCTAGATGATTGAATGCTGTCGTATTTGTTTTGAAGATGCTTCAACCATCTGATCTTTCAGTATTGAAACGTCTGGATCTCCTGACAGTCAGTCCAGTGATCTGCAGTTTGTGGAATTGCTTTGCCTGCCAACGTGATGAGGGATGTGACAGCCTCACAGTTAAATCTATATGGTCAAGGTCCTCCAGCTCGGATGTTATGCATCACTGGAGGCCGGCAGTTGGCTGGTCGTGGTCCTCATCATCACCCTCGGCGTGATTTTCGAAGAGGAGAATTGTTTGGGGGAGTGATACTTCTTTTTCTCTTTTGTTTCTCTCTTGTAAGGGCTCGGCCGAGTGAAAGTGATTGTCCTTGAAAAGTCACCAATCCAGAATTTCCCATGGGCTGCACTCATCATGTGAGCTGAAAATACTGAGCAGTCCTTGGACCAAAGGTCTTCCTCTTAGAGGATGATTGGACTGAAAGCAGCGAAGTGGCTTGGTTGAGTGCTTTTTTCTCTACACAGAAAGAACTTTGAAAGATAACTTCACATTCCTGTGCACAGATATTTACAATCCAGAGCTCTACCCACCCGGCGTAATCATTTGAAGAGGACACATCATGTCACATGTCCAGGTCCTGTTCAGGGGCTCTAATGGCAGAGCTTTGTATAATCTATAGATCAACATACTCCATCTTCCATTGGGCCTTATCACAGCCCCTCAGTTCAGCCTCTGCCAGAAGCCCAGTCCTTTCTGATTAGCCGGCTTCTGGGAAGTGGCCCCTTAACTTCCATTGGCTCCAGAAAAGGCTTTGCAACTAAATCCTAAACCAATTATCATGAATTCACATCAAGTTGATTTACTTTGACCTTAGACATCTGACATGATATACACAACAATTACAAATCTGCTTCTACAAAAATGTTAAATCTCACAAGGTTAATGAAAGTGGGAAAAAAAAATCCGGGGTCCGCCCCTGGAATCTAGTTAATCACGTCTTCCTTGGCTCGTACGCGACCCTTCCACCGAGGTTTGAGAAAGTTGGTTCAGTAGTTTTATTTTTGCAGAATCCTGACGATAGTCAAACAGCAACGAAAAACTTCCTCGGCAGAGGTAATGATTTAAAAAAAACAATCACAACACAAGGTTGACATGTTGTCTAAACAAACAATGGGGATCAGCAGCTTCTTAATTAAAGAGGCTGGAGTAACAGTGTCTGCTCATTTGAAGGCCGACTAATTAAAGCCACTTAAACTGAGCTCCAGAGCTGAATTACTCCTCAGACGACCCTGTGAGAAGACAGGTATTCAGTAACTAGTGATTTGATGTTGAGTCTTATAACTTTCTCACAGCTAAACGTCTCCACACAAACTTTTACATGAAATTATAATCATATTGTGATAATATACTGTAACGTCATGGCAAAACGAATCTGTAGGCGACATGACACACAAGCTGATGGAAGCTTTAAACCACGATCAACCCTCACTGTTCATCCTGCTTGGATGAAAAATGAAAAACACCAGTTTAGTTTTTGTTGTTTTTGTCTCGGTACATGTTGTCTGACATTCTGAAAGGCTAAAAATAAATGTGATTCATCGACTTTTCTGTTCTGCTACTTGGAGATATTTGAAATGCAACTTGCATCTGTGTGTTTTGAGATTTTCCTGCAGCCAAACCAAAGACAAAGATGCATCCTAACATTTAAAGGCAGCTTTTATTGTGGGCATATTAATGTGAGTAGAGTTCGAGTATATCTAGTCCAGCAAAGGTTTAGGTTATTTTTTCAATGAAATAGCACAAAGGTTTTCTTTGAGCTCTTTCATTACTTTTTGACATTTCTATTAGCCGGGTAAAATAAAAGTGAAGAGCAGTGTGTCCATAAAGTTCTTCTTATCGCTGTCTGGGTTGAAGACTCACATTCAGTGTGCAAATATCAAACAGCTGGAAGACAAAAGGGAGCGTTCAAAAGTGTGAACAGCCTTCAGGGTCCAGGGCTTCATGTCGGAAATGTCTACACAGTACTGTCGTCAGTGAGAACGAAGAAAAACATTTCAGTATTAAAATATTTGCATTATTTCTTCATGGCTGAATTTTCTCGAATATCATCAGTTATCTGCCAAATTACCTCAGAGGAGGAAGTTGTGTTTCCTCAGTTTGTTCATCATATGTTTTATGATATTTACTGCATTAAATATCTACATATTCTTTTAAAATACTAATATAACTTTGACAGCATCATCAGCCGGACTCAACATCGCACTAAAACCGTTTTAACAAAAACAATAACATGCAATCTTCACGAAGCTGGGATTCATCGCAGGTCTCTTTAATGAGGTAGGTGTCCCTAATAAATAGACAATATCCATTTCTTTACAGCGTCCCTGCATAAACCAAACGCCATGGCGTCTGAACAAAGTGACAGTGTGGACAGCATCATTCATCACTTCACTTTTTCACCAGAAGAGCGCAGCCAAGACACACACACACACACACACAGCTTCACTCAACACGGCTGATTCAGTTTCAAGCCACTAATCCGAGGCACTGACTAATTCATGAAAACCACTTATAAGAAACACCTGTGCTCATTAATTACGCTCAAACAGCGAGTTTAACTGGAGAAAAGGTGCCGTCACACAAACCGAACCACGCCGGGGAACGTTTCACAGATTTGTCCGGAGCAGCCTCCGTCCTTGCCAGAAAATGTTTTGTCCTCCAAAAGTGAAATGATTTGTCTCTGCAGTGATTTGAGCTATGACTGTTTATAAATGACTCAATTCTGAGACGCCAGCAAACATCTGCAACGGTTCCTGAGAGGCCTAGTCTCAGGTTAGAGGTACAGTACTGGTGTGATACATACATGTACAGCAGGCGGTACGGTGGTCTAGTGGTTAATACTGTCAGCTCATATCATGAAGCATCTGGGCTCTAACCATAGACTGTAAATTAAGATGGACGACGTGTCTCCACTTCTGTCCATTATCCAGAAATGAAGCTGAAATAGCCTGAATATAAACACTGCCATCTTGTGCTCTTGACTTTTTAGTTTGGTCCATGTCCCATCTCCTCACATAGAGGACACAGGGTTTGTGACCTATACTGCAACCAACCACCAGGGGGTGATAAAGAGGCTTTTGGCTTTACTTTTGAGGAGCTTTCATGTCGTCCGTCTTTATTTACAGTCTAAGGTTTGAACCTGAAGACTGGCTGGTTAATCAGAGACTCTATATGTCAGCCCTGCGATAAAAAGGCGACCTGTTCAGGGTGTGACCGCCGGGGTTGGCTCCAAACCCCCTCTGAGCGTAAGCGCTTTTGAGTTATGGGTAATGTTATTTGTCCTTTTTAGGGAAGTGTGCTTCGCTGTAGGCAAAGTAAACACAGCAAAACGAAACAAGCAGCATATAAGTCACCTTTAGCTGCTAAAATGTTTCCTCAGTGGCAGGACTGGAGCCCAAAGAGCTTTTCTGAGATGTTATTGGTCTGCTGTATTTTTAACTACAGCCAGCAGAACTCCTGATGCATGTTCCACCGGCACAGCTCAATGCAAATTTGATTCTAACAACACTGAGAAGATTTTAGTTGGATAAAAAGGGATCGATGCAGAGGTTTCTGGTTACAAACATCTTTGGTAATGTATGATACTATTGATTTTACATCGTCCTGCGATGCTACTGGTTTGGGAAGGTAAGAGCCAACAGCTGCAGACGTGATGAAACTGTCCCCTGCTTCAACACAGGCTGTTTCAGCACAAATTAATTTGGACTAGTTTAACTATCGTGTGTCCTATAATTTACAAAAACACTCAAAATATCACCACTACCGCTAATTACACTGCTGGAGAAGCCAATATTTGTTTTAACAAGCACCACAACAAACATTTCAGCCTCTCAACTGAAGTCAGGGTGGTGTTTGTTAATCCAATATGTGGAGAACTGTCCTCAGGAATACATATTTTATTTTGGAACCTTCCTTTAAGCTCCTGTGGCACTGGGCCCAGCGTTTCATGCCCTGGTCCCTGAATGACAAAGCACTCTGCTCTGCTGTGTTTGCAGAATTGTTGTTACCTGGGATTTCCAGTGGAGAGGATGGCTGTTGAGCTCAATAGTTCCTCGTAGAGATCAGCGCCTGACACGGGGAAAGCAGTGTGTTGGGCCAGCAGCACTCTGCGGATGGCAAACAGAGCCTGTAATGGGGAAATGACAGCGTATGAGGCTCACGGCTGCTGCATGGATCAGACACAACACATGTACGGACTCACCTCGGCCAGCGTTGCCAGATTAGGCTGTTTTCGGTCCAGCTGGGCCATTGTGTTCATAATCCAGAGGTACCAGGTACAATTCTGGCTTGTTTTGATGAGATTTACAGGATTTTTGTAATAATGTTACGTGTGCTCTCACATGTTATTATTATTATTATTTTAGTGAACATGTAGGTTTTGAAACTACACCCTAAAAATGTACTTGGGTGCAGCACATTTTCTGCTTAGGCTTCATATCAAAGCCTTAATTTAATATATATATATAATAATATAATAGCATTACCAAACTACCAGTCATTTTGGCTTTTGATCACTGTTACTCATTTGTATTTTCCAGAAATGTGACATTTCTCTCTTTCTTTTCTCTTGTATTAGAGAAAATAGATCATTTAACTGTTTCTAACTTCAATGTGTTCATTGTTGTTACCTTTGTTTTATTTAACTGTCCTCGATGTTTGACATCAACGTCTTAATCTAATATTAAAACTCACAAAGGTAAACTAAAAATAAAACATTCCCAGAGCCCAAACACGTATCTTGAAGTACTGAAGTTTCTTTTATTCCAGTATTATCAATTATTAATGCTATTAAAAAATCCCTTTGATACTTTTGTTTTATAACTTGAGTGATGACTCAATCATCAAATTTGATGTTGGTGAATATTTGGATTGATTAGTACAAGTATTTCTTTGCTTTTATCCTGGATTTGAAAACAAGGGAAGACAACTTAATTTACTAGTTTTCGTAGCAGATTTAGTTTTAGTTTTGAGTAGTATCGGATCTGGATCTTACAACCGGACGTCAGCCTACTGCACGAGAACACACTGCTGATGATTACACGTTCTCCAACCAGGCTGGGCTGTGACGTTCTGTGTTAGAAGTCATCAAAGAACACTTAGTGCTGTTTAGCAGCCTTACATCCTGATTAGTCTCTCCTCCAGGGCAGAGAGGGTTTCCTGAGTCCAACAACACAAATGTATTTATTGAAATGAGGCAAATCTGTTGGGTCTCAATTAGTGGGAATTTTGGCGCTCCACTTTAGTTTGTGGCCTCACAACACGTCTTTGCTTTTATTTAAAATCCTCGCCTTGCCCATCTTTAATTGAACCGTAGGAGGCTGCCTCAGTGATAAAAGTGTTGGTGCAGATGACCCAGCATTGACCTCCTCCCCTGTTGTGCGTGCGCGAAACAATGGTTCAAATCAACAGCGGGAGCCTGACCGAGCAGAGGGATGCTGGGTATCGGCTCAGGGGATGCCCGCGGGCAGAACAAGCGGGTCAGGAACACTCGGCTCAGTCAATGGGACGAATGTAAACCTGCCACAGGCAGTGAATTAATAAAGAAGAATATTCAAAAACACACAATGATCTCATGGGAGGGGAGACTGTCTCAATCTGTGATTTCTATAGCAACTTAAAATTCATATCAACTCCTGCCACAAAATATGGAAAAGACAATGTGGCGTGACGGGAGTTTAGAAATTCTCTTTCATAATACATAAGCCATTTAATCTGTTTTTAGATTTCATGCTCTCCATCCATGCACAGGTTACATGTACAGACCACGGAGCCTGTAGTAGTGATTTAAAGGTGAACGAATTATAATTTTGCCCAGAAGGGATTAACTTGTACCTACACTTTTAATCTCCACGGGGAACAAAGACATGTAGAGAGAAAAAAAAGATTATAAGAGCATGAAGACCGTATGTGTTCCACACTTTTTAAATTCTCTCTCGTAATCAATAATCATTTCAAAGTTAATTTCTTATACAGACCACAGAGCATTTAGCAGTGACTTCACTCTCACTCATCTCTTATTCTTCTGTAACAATAATATCTGGGTTGTATTCTACGTCTCCGTCTACCCACACAATATATGATATGATATCATTTAACAGCCCTCCTGCACATCCTTCCTGATTATTTGCACTTTTGTTTCAGATGAAGTTTGGTCGAAGGTGAGATTTAAAGAAATGTAGTTTCCTACTATCTGCCCGTGAGGTCAGAACTGAGTTGGACAGTTTTTAATTCATGATTTCTGCTTTTTCTTCACTGAGGAATAACTTACGGCTAAAAGAAGCTGCTTCTCTTTCAAACTGATAATGAAGAACTAGTTTTTCTGTTGTTTATCACTTAATGTGTGTAAACTACTGAATATAAAATAAAAAATTTCAGTTGCCATGTGGAAAATGTATATTTTAAACATTGACTAGCCTGTGCAAAAGTACTTATCTCAGTTTTATCTTAAAGTTTTCTCGGTCTTCCAGATCTTAGCTCAACATCTGTGATTTCTTGACATGACATTTACGACAGAGGAAGTCAGAAAACTCATGAGCTTTGCTAATGTCATCAGCTGACAATACATAAGGACAATTCTTGGCCTGCCCCACAAATCCCATCCATGTCGATTAAGGCCTAATAGGTTATTTAAGTTCTGAGAGTTACCTCAGTTTGAAGATGTGCAAATGCAAAATTAATTTTTCAAGTTGATGATGTAAAAATAAGAAGTAATTTTCTGTCTATTTGCCGCAGGGGCTGCATTTACTTCATTTTACTTAGAAAAAAAATAAACAAAATGTGCAATTTGCCCAGGAGGAGCAGAACTTACATCTGTTCTCTACAGGAAAAATAAATGATAATGTAACTTTGCTCTTGCTGAGAGAAAACAAATACAATAAAATACAAAAAAGAACAGGAAGCAAATGTGATCTTCAACCTTGACTTGAACGTCTGCTGTGGAAACATTTTTGCCTGGCTCCTCAAACACATGACCCGTCTTTCCAAGGGTATGTTTAACAAGCCCTGTGGGAGGTCTGCTTACATTAAGCATGGCTCTTTTTTTAATCATAAGCCACCTAATACAACCCACTTACACAGTGAATGGACTCATGCTGCATGCGGGTGAAAGTATCTAAGAACAACGTGATGTCGATCAGGGCCTGAACCTCCCACTCTTCTCTGTTTGTGCCAAGTATACAAATGTGGGTGTCTTTTATTTTCACTTCATTAACTAACAGCACAAACTACGAATCTGATTTGTTTTAAGGAAATAATGAAATTTCCCCCGAGTGATTAGCTGTCATGTGTTGAAGTGAGGAAGTGTTGAATGAAGAAGCTCTTTACTTTTGAATGTTTGATTTATCGGACACCTGATCCTTTCCATGCGTGTGTAGAATAAAATGTGGAGTAACTGGACGCAGGGACTATCCGATCTGGAAACATCAATCCCCAGGATGTTGACTCTGTTTTCAGGGTCCTTGAATCAGTAAATGAGCAGCGTGTTTAATTCATGTATGGTTTGAATACCTTATACGACGTGGAACATTTCTGAGCCAGTTCCTCGATGTCGGATGAGACCAGGTCCTCCACTGTGGGAACAGGAAACAATGGCTGATGAGTTGAGTTTAGTCCTGGACAAGGTGTAAACTTCACAGACTGTATATAAAAACACAATCTCAATTATATATATATAAATATATATATAACAAATCTCTTTGTAACTTTTCCAATTATGCTCCAGAATCCTGAGCGTCTCTTTTTTAACATTGAATACTTTCAGTTACTTTCTGGACTCGATTGAATTATTAAATATCGTGTGAAACTGATATTGAAATTGATTGATGGCAAAAAATGCAATAACATATTTTAAACTTGATAAACACAACAATGACTTCAGCGTAAACCCGTATAATTTATCAAGAGCAAGCATCTATCTATCTATTCATCCATCCATCTATTCATTCATTCATTCATCTATCTATCCGTTCATCCATCCATCCATCCATCTATCTATCTATCTATCTATCTATCTATTCATCCATCTATCTATCTATCTATTCATCCATCCATCCATCTATTCATTCATTCATTCATCTATCTATCTGTCTGTCTATCTCTCTATCCATCTATTCATCCATCCATCTATCTATTCATCCATCCATCTATCTATCTATCTATCAAGGTGTATGTTACTCTTGAGTCTGCTCTTGAACTTGAAGTCTCCATCTCTCTATCCATCTATCTATCTATCTATCTCTCTATCCATCTATCTGCTCTTGAACTTGAAGTCTCCATCTCTCTATCTATCTATCTCTCCATCTATCTATCTCTCTCTCTATCCATCTCTCTCTCTCTCTCTCTCTATCCATCTCTCTCTCTCTCTCTCTATCTATCTATCCATCTCTCTATCTATCTCTCTCTCTATCCATCCATCTATCCATCTATCTATCTGCTCTTGAACTTGAAGTCTCCATCTCTCTCTCTATCTATCCATCTCTCTATCCATCTCTCTATCTCTCTCTCTATCTAGTCTCCATCTCTCTATCTATCTATCCTTCTCTCTATCTCTCTCTCTCTCTCTCTCTATCTCTCTCTCTCTCTCCATCTCTCTCCTCATCACTGAACTGACTCTTGAGTTGTTCCTCTGACGTGTGTTCAGTGTGCTTCAGTAAAACAACACAGCAGACCCCAGGTCAGTGACCCCCCCCTGACAGCAGAGTAACAGACAGGTTCACTGACCTGTCCTGACGTCGGCAGATCGCAGGTCTCGGATTAAATCCTCCTCCAGTCCGGGACACATCCCTTCTCTCAGCACCACCATGCTAGCTGCTAGCTGCTAGCTACAGGTTGTTTGTGTGTGTGTGTGTGTGTGTTAGCTTAGCGGCTAACCTGCGCAGCTAACTCCCTCCACCTGCGTGTTCGTCGCTGGTTTGCGTGAACGACTTCTTCTCCTGCGTCAGAACTTTAAATTGTTCTTTTAACGAAGTTAATGTCGCGACAGTTCAACTCTGTGCGAACGTAAACAGGAAGACGATTTAAACACGCGCCTCCGACTTGCCGTAGTGGCTTCTGAACGCAATGGTGTCTGGGTAATGTAGTTTTACTGCTCCAAATCTGCATCCAATGTATTTATTTATCTCTTTTTAACTTTCTGCATTAAATTACTGATCATTGTTAACTTTTGTGACATCATTTTATTTCTTTATTATTTCTCTTATATTCACGTTTGAAAACCAACAATAATCAAACATGCACCAAACACTGGGACTACAAACCTCAGGCTTAATCTCATTCAGACTCATCCTGTGTTAACTTTGTTATCTTAATTATTATCTTTACTGAAAGTCTAGTTTTATCCCTTTTGCTGCTGTAACACAGATAATTCGACATTTTATATAGCACTACATCACAACCTGCATTGATAATAGTATAATAACTTTATCACTTATTTAAAAGTACTTCACAAAATCCATAGAAAAAAATTATTGAATGGAAATAAAAGGTATTCAATTCAGCTCAAGTGTCAAATCATAATCACAATGAGTTCAAGACCTTAATATTTATACATTTAAATGAAGGTAGTTTACATGTAAGGTCAAATCTTACAATATAATATAGAAACCCAACAAGTCCCACAATGAACAAGAATTGTGGAACTGATAAATTATTATCCTTTCTTTTCTGATCTGGAATTTAAAAACACTAGCCCAACTTTATTTTAGTTTTGATTCTGTCATTTCAAATATAGGCCGAATAAAAATGTACACAGAAACAAAACAGGACATGGAAATGTAAAACAAAATAAAATAGGATTTTTAAAAAGTGTTGAAGTGTGAGAATCACAAGAGACACTGCCCATGAGTTAATGAAGGTGTATTATAATGTCAATGTGACTGTTTTTGCTTTGGTGATTCAGCCTTTGCACGGACTCGGTCAGCTTCAGTGTGTTAGTGACGCTCTTAGAAAAGCATCAACAAAAAGGGATTTTCAAGTTCACCTTGTACCCTCTGCAAAAAGAAGTACCTCAGGTGCGGATGTGGTGCTTTGGACGATGAAGACACTCATCTCAAGAGAGAGAGCACCGCCTGGATCATAAATCCTGTTACACACTGATCCTCACTACCTCAACAAGTCACTGAACTTGGCTCGGCTTGTCCACTCCTTCAGTTCTCTGCTTCAACTTCTGACATGTTTCCTTGACTCTCAGCTCTGGTCTAAACCCGTGAGTCCGCCGCTTTGACCCCAGAACAAATTCTTATATCTGCAGTCGCTTCACAGCTTGAGTGTGTATTTTTACCCAGCGATAAGACCATTTACTGTTATACTTCCCTAATACTCATGGACGGTGGTCTTCTTCTATTGAAGCCCTTTTGAATATATACTTTATAAATATAGGTTTATATGAGCTGATCCCCTGTGGACGACATGGATACAAGAGAAGATGTGATAATTCTCTGCGGGATAAATAAAGAATCCTATGATAACCATTAACATGCTAATTAAATTCTACCCAAATGAATGCAATGAGAGTTATGGATAAAGAGCTAATACTGTGCTCATGCCTGTGTGTGTGAGTAATGAACTTCTACTTTGTGATGAGTTTTGAATAAATCCAGCTGCTCCAGACTCTCCATTATTGAGGCTTATTCTGAAAGTTATCTCTGTTTCCAGAAGAGTCCAGTGAATAAATCACCCTGCTGAAGGCCGAGAGTAAAAATGTTGGTAGTGTAGGTCAGCAAGGTTTTCAAAGTATAATGCAATGAGGACCTTAATATTCAATGTATGAATATTATTACTACAGAGCCAGTAATGTCCCGACAGGTGACATGTTGTTTTTAATCTTGTGCGCACGAGATAACTACTGGTTTGCACAGGATTTTCTTCCTTGTGTGTGTGAGAAAAATGTATTTAACTTGTACTTTTTATCATGTCCCTTCCACTAACATGGAGGAGCAGGGCTCAATACTGCAGCCAGCCACCAGGGGGGGCGATGGATAAGCTTTGGCTTCACTTTTACGGTGAACCTGAACGTAATCTCTAAGTGAGTTGAATTCATTTGGGAACGCGCTCGTTAATAACAGATTTAATATTTAAATGATTCTATGTGTTCTAATGCAAGAACATTTTGGCGACAGCTAAATGAAAAAAGGATAAACCCAGTGTTTGTGTTTAAAGCGGCAGAGAAACAACAGAAATGAACCTAAAAACAACAATATGTATAGTTTTTAATTCAAAGAAATAAACAGCTCCTCCGACGGTCTTATCTCAACTAAGCAGGATTTCATCTCGATTACCTGTCAAGAAACAAAGGGGAGGCGTCACACAGAGAAGTGGACGGACAGGGGACTGTTCTGAGTTAACAGACGAAGATGACGCCGCAGCAGCCTCTTCGCCGTCTCTGATGATTTATTACATCCAACACGTTAACGAGTGTTTGTGGTGTTTTCAGAGGCATTCGCCCACTAAAGATGTTCTCTTTAACAAGCAGGTAGCCATCGCCGTTTGATGAGAGCGATCAATAAGGAATGAAATTGACTAGTGCACATTAAGAGCGCGGGAATTATTCATTGGATTCGTGGGAATGATGAATTTGGCAGGATGCACATGTCGTCCATCACCTGAGTGAAGAGGATCTGAGTTCTGCTCGTTACACCGGTTTGTTCTGTTCAGATCACATGTTAGTTCATTTATTTATTTCATTTATTGTAAGTTGTTGGCAAAAGCATTAATCTCCAGTTTTCATCGTCTCCGCATTTACTGACAAAATGAAATCAGTGAGTAAATATTGTTGTCGTGGTTTTATATCTGCCTTGGACTGAAATAGATGATTTCAAAGCCGCGGGATTATTTAATCATGTTTTCACCGAGTTAAAAAAGAGGTTTTCATCTATAGGAGCAGCAACATGATGTGTGATAATTGAATGTCTGTCTTTTCCTCAGTGATGGAAGTGGTATTCACATATTTTATTTTATTAAATACCATTAATAAAACTGTGTAAAATACACAGTTACGAGCGGACTATGACCGACGTATCCATTGGCCGATAACAATCAGACATTTCGCTTCCAGAATTTATGTTTATCAGCATGAACTGAATGTAAAGTTTTTATTTTACAGAATAAACAATGCAGAAAAGATTTAAGTTCACATTTTATGAAAATAAAATTGTATTTTCTTTACATTTAAACAATTAAACTGTAAAATATCAAACCTCAAACATTTCTTTGTCATTAGGTTTCCATAACGACGTACAGAATCCTTCAGCCGTCAGTAAAGAATGAAAACGGGGGGTTTTTGAAAGTCGTCACAAGCAAAGATCAGAACTTATTTTTATATATTTTTAAACTAAATGTGAAAAGTAAAAAAGAAAGAGTTGAAAAGAAAGGTTGCACACTGTGCTTCAGTAAATGTTCTTACTCCACCACTGCTTCCACTTCTTTATTTTATTCCAGTGTTTCATAATGATCATATGATTCTTTTCTCATCCTAACAACCCTGTTTCCCTGACAGGGATCGATATTTTAATCATAGCCGGTAAATAGACTCATCAGGATTTGCCCATGTGGCATGAAATTGGCTGTTTGCTACAAGCAGAGCTGTTTTTATGTCAACCTGTTTATCGTTGCATCACAAAACTCAGACATTATGAGGAGGAGATTATAGGATGGACGGTTCTACAAAACTCAGGTGAAGCTGTGAATCAGACCACATCCTGAGCCAGATATTTCTTATCTTGTCGCCAGTAAAGCTCGAGATCCTGAACCCTACCTGGGCCAAACCCTGACTTAACGGACATCACAGATATTATATGTCTGCCACTGGTTTGGTTGATGGTAGAGTGGGAAACCATGGATTGGGAGATTGATGCTGCATCAGCAATAAACGCAGCTGAAGAAGAAGAAGCTGTGAGGCAAAAGCTTCTGATTTAGATGATCTGTGTTCCAACCCTCGCCTTTCTGCTCATGAGCTCTGGGTAGTTTCAAACTTTTAAAACATTTAACAACGAAATGATAAAACCACATGAGCTGTTGCTTTTAGAAATCCGGTCATGTGGAGTTAAAGCTTCTTCCTGTGTCGTGTAGGAGAGTCTTTCAGTCCGAGGCTGACTGGACCTTCTTCAGCTCGAGATGAATCATGGATGAAGTGTGAATTATAGAAGACGTGTCTCGGAAATAGTCACGTAACATGTTTGCTCAGTATGTACAGCTGCACATGGATGTGACCTGCAAGCAGGATCAAGCTCTGTCATCCCTTGTTTCTCACCTGCTGGAACGTCCTATTAATACTCCGAGTTAGCAACAGTGCACTGAAGTGTCGGCTGTATCCTTGGCTACCCTGCCGCCTGATGCTGCCAGGTACACACACTCACCACCCCCTTTAAGTTAAGAGGTAAGAATTCAGTAAAGATTAATGTCTGAAAGCACACAGCCCGTACCTTCATAAATTAAACTGGATTACTCAATAAACCCCCGCTGTTGACATTTACAGTTTGCTTTCAAAATAAAATCACCGCACTATAGTGAAGAAAATCATTATGGATTTTTTTTTTTCCACAGCCAATAATGGATCCCCGAAGAACAAGTTCAACGAAAAGCATTTTCTTTGTACGAAGAGGTTTTAAAATGTGAATGTGTGAACAACCTTCTCTGAGATTATTTGAGTTGGTCCTATAGATTTATCCTCACGTCTTATTTTATCTTGCTTTCTAGAGACAGGTCCACTGTGTATTAATTATGTGTAATTATCTTTGCAATACCTCATTATCCTCTGTGTGGTTAGAAATCGCAGCGTAATCATTCTCAGTGCGACAAAAGAGAGCCTTTGTGTCATTTTCAAAGGTCAATAGAATTTTATATTTTAGGACAAAGGAACTTATCCATATATTTTATATATCAGGCATTTGTTTTTCAAATTCTATACGGGAAGCAACTAAACACAAACCTTTGTGTTATTCACCGAGAACAGACAGAAGCCACTGTGGGAGTATAACACAGCACCAATCAACAGTTTTTCATCAAAACAATGGTTGGACAACAGTTCTTATTATTAATA